AAATTGATAAAAAATAATTTGTATTTCTTTCATTAATACTATAAATTTAATAATTCTAAAATAGGGGAAATCATAACTAATCATTTCTTTAATGTTTTTAGTTTGTCTAAACAACAATCATTCAATTTACTCTTTTTTAAAGAACCCATTCATTAACAAATGTACGGTTAAAAGTAATGTCATCAAACACAACACCACACCATTGTTTTTCTTCAAATTTCATTTCAACTGTTTTAATTTTAGATGTTTCAAATTCTTCAAGTTTTCTTTTTTCATAAGCAGCTTTTAATCTATTGTAACATTCTAAAGCAACATCTTTCATAGTAAAATCGGTTACAGATTTAAGGGCATTTTCAGAGTATTTTAATAGGCAATTCATTAAAGACTCTTCTTTATTGTAAAGAACAGTAATTCCTTTAGTTAATACTTTCTCGATAAATTGAAGAATTTCAACTCGTATAGATGACCATGAATGACTTAAACCAAGTTCTAATTGAGTAAATAATAAATCACTATACTTTCTTGATAATTTTGTTCCTTTTGTACCAAATACATCAATATATGTTAAAACAAATTTCATTGCAGCATCTCTAACTAATGGAGACAAGTCAGTAATTAAAGGAAATGATGATGAAATTATTTTTGTTATAATAGTTGGGTGAAGGTTATTGTATAATTTGATTTGTCTTTGAAACAATTTTAAACAATTTACTCTCGACTTTTCAGATGGTAATTGAATACCACGGAGTGCTTCATTAATTTCATTTGAAGCATCTGCAATAGCTTGATCTCTCATTTTAAGTACTTTAGATTTAACTATAGGTGTTTGTGATTTAGGAGCATTTTTTTGCCCAATGACACTTTTCTTTTTGGCAAAATCCTTAGGTTTTGACTTGGGCATTTTTCTTTATTTTTAAGATTTTTTTATTTCTTTTAATTTTTTAATAAAAAATAATAAATTTTATAGTTTAAAGATAATTTGAAATAATAAAAACAAGTTTCTCTTCACTTCACAAATCCAATGACATTCTTATTGAAGAAGAACAACTAGATGATACACTAGTATTTAAAGAAGTTGGGACTGAAACTGGAAGTGTAGGTGTCCATACTTCTAATCTATCAATAAGGAATGAAGAAGAATTTGTGAATAAGTTATTATCAAAAGTATCAACTTTAGCATTAAAGCAATGTAACTCTTTATCCAAAGAAAGACCAGCTACTCCACTAATAGTGTTAATGAATAAGATTATGTTATAATTATAAAATTAATAAAAGAAGAACAAACTTTCCACCTCCAAAAACGAATCTTGCAGGGTCAGTTTGAATAAAATAAGTATTTTTCATTGTTGCTGGGTATTTTGTTGGTGGGTTTAAAGAGAAGAGAAATGTTTCACCATTTCCATAATATTTTGATGATATAGTAATAGGGTCATTCATATATGCTCCAAAAATTTTTCCTTTTGCTTTGATTAATAAAATAAGAGGATTTCTAGACATACATTGGTAATACAAATTAGTCAAAGAAAACCCATTTACTGTTGTAGAGAAAATAACTTCTAAATCTATAATTCCTATTCTTGTTGGTAGAAAAGAATTTAATAAGCGAGCTTCTTCAATAGATAAGAAATCATTTGGAAGAATTGATGGAGTAATACTTTGAAGAAGACGTGTTTGAGGAACAGAATCAAAAAATGAAGGATATTCTTCTTCTGTTCTATAAGAAACAAAATAATGATATTGAAGATGTTGTGGAACATCATTTAACCAAGCACGTGTTAAAATATGGTCAAATTCTCTTGTAAAAGTAGAAATAAAATCATTAAAATCATCTACATCTAAAGGGGGATGATTACAAAGTTGTAATGTTATTAAAATGATGTTTAGTACTAAAGGATATCCATAAATTAATATACTTCCTAAGAATAACATTTTTTTATCAGTTGGAAGAAGAGTTGTAATTGGTAATAACATTTGTTTAAGTAAGTCATTAAAAATTGTCATTGATTCAATTCCATTTTCTTCAAGTTTTATAATATAATTTGGTAAGTGCCTTTTTACAAGATCATTTAATGATAATATTAAATAATCAAATTGAAATGAATTAAATGGATATATTCCTTTATATAATATTTTAATTAAGAATGACTGAATAATTAAATATGTTCTTTCAAATTCGAATGCTTCTAATAATATTTGTATTAAAGAATCAATAAATTGAAATTGAATAGATTTAATTCCATATAAACAATGAATAATTTGATTAATTTTAATTGAAATAAATTCATCAGAATTTTTGCTTAACCAAGACTTTCTAAAAGAATGAACGTTAATACTTTCATTTTTATTTAAAATAAATGTATTAATAAGATCTTTTGCTAATGTTGAATTTACTAATAATATTTCATAACAATTACTTACATTTGCTAAAAATGTTACTCCACTTTCAAGTGGAACTCTTCCCCAATCATTAATTTCATCTTTTAATAATGATTTTTTAAGATACATTAAATGTTGTAATTGAGGAATAAAATCTGTATTTCTCACTCTAATAAATGTTGAATATTCTCCAAGTCTATTTGATTTTAAAAATAATAATTTAAAATAACGAGCCCAAAAATAAGTCTCGTCATTATAAACTGAAGGTACTAATTGTAATAATGCTTGATGAATATTAGGGTGTTGAACAATTACATACGAAATATGTTTAATTAATAATTCGGATATTGGTGATACAGCTTGAATTTCTAAAGGGGTTGGATAAGGTTGAGAATAAATAACTTGTGCTGAAATGGTGTTAAGAATTGGTTGTAGTGCTTGATAATTGAGGAGAAATATAGTGTGTTTTTTTGAATATGGTTCAAAGAAACGGCTTGGTTCCATTAATTTCGTTTGATAATTCAAACAATTTTGCAGATTTTCCGTA